AGCTATAGTTTTATCAGAACCTTTAAAACCATCCTTTCTAGCTAGTTCACTGGTTCTTGAAACTATGGAAAGAGAATGATAACTTACTGAAACATGTAACTTCTCACCTTGCTAGCATCAGCATCAGTACAAATGGCCCACAGTGTACATAGTTATACAATGGTGCTTTATTTCTTAGATATATCAATAAAAGAGCACTGCACCAAAATCAGGCATTCATGCATGTGTTACATTAAATTTCTCTGTTCGTTTACTTCAGGCAGATATATTTATATAGAACTGCCTTATATGGAAGTAGATCTTTGGTTATTCTAGCTTAGTACTACCTACCTACTTTGAGGAGTTAACTATATGTTATGTTTTCCTCAGGGACATCCCAATAACAAGAAAAGTAATTCTGGAGTTCCACGCTTCCCAGGCATGCACAGGCCAAACTCCCTTCCCCCCATAATGGACAGCTAACTGCTGATGCATTATACCAGCCTAATAACCTTGACTGTCAGGAGGTTCCAATGAAATTCTACAGTTGACCTGAGGGAGTTGCAGTTGAGAACACTGAAGGATTGAAGAGGATCCTGAAATAGAGAAGTGGAACCAGTAGTCCTTCCCTGAGGGTGATAGCTCCTAGGAGAGGGGGGTGATCCCTATCAAGTGTTAAAGAAGGAAAATTGGAAACTGCATGTATATCCCTGCCTCCACAGATTTTAGTAATTTTTAAACAAATAAGTTTATGCCTATTTGTCTAAGGCATGACAGCCGTGACAGCCAAGTGATCAGAGCTATAACCAGTCTAGAACAAATCAGATAAATTTTGTGACAAACATATCTATTGTATATAGTTATACGAAGTTTCCCCCATTCCTGTTGCCTTTTCACCTGCCACGTTTAAAACTAAAACCTCCCTGACAGTCTGACTTGACTATTTTCCCATAAAACAGTTTATATGTTGTGAATTAATATCAGCCTTTTGTGTGCCATGATCAGACAACCACCAACAAAGGGTTTTTCAGTTCCTCAGCATCCTAGACTGTGTCAGACTATATCTGTATATATTTAAACAACTGGGGTGACAGACAGAGAAACAATGATGAAGAAAAAGGGGCTGCTCAGCTAAGAAAAAAAAGTAAGTGAGGACTCATCATACTCCCACACAGTTTTCCAGACGTTAACTGTAATGTGAAGCTAATGTGGAGCCCTTAGTAGGGTTCCTCGGGACTGTTTCAGTTCAGGAAAACTGCCCAAACAGAAGGTCTAAGCTCCTTCTCCCTGTAGTTCTGATCCAAATCAGGGCTGCATGACTGGTAAATGCAAAATCCCAGAACATACCTCTCAGTGCAACCCAGGGATGTCCCCAGAGAAAACATAATGGACAGTTAGGTCTGACAGGCAGCAGTTCTGCAGGACTTCAGAGAGAAGGGTCTTTCCCAGCAATGTTACCTCAGTTCTTTTAAATGTTTAGTATCGTCTAAATACATTCTAGTGCAAGGAGGACTAGAAAGACAACATATTTTTAAAAAATCTATATAATTTTCAATGACTATTGACTGGCTGGACTAACTTGGACTTACCTTTAATATCAGCAATTTTTGTCTTCAGCTGTGGGTGAGTTGTCAGTCTAGCAATTGCTCTGTCTGTTGCTGTAGAATCAGGCTGCATTAAAAAAGGCAGACCTTGTTCAATGACAAAAACATACCCAGCTACCATAGTGGTGAAATGTATCTCTATGCTTTTATATTAAGAAACTTATGAATATCGTTCTGTAAGCACTTATTTGTACTCTACCGATTCAAGGAAATGCTTATAAAATACTTACAGAATGAAAAACTGCTTTGGTTCTCTCAGTAAGGCAACTGAGGCTAGTTTTTCTTGAAATGATTATCTTAAATATATGAGGCAGAAATCCTGCCATCTCACAAACAGCAGCAAACAAGGGGGCGAGACTGTTTCTATACTAAGCACACTCCATTTATTTCTGTCTGCTACACAACCAGTGTTTGGGGGCAAGGATGCTGACATGCAACAGCAGTTTATTATCATCTGTTAATTATTTAAAATGGGCTATTACACTTGTAAACGTATTAGACCTTGAATTTCTTTGATTTTCTGAGTATTTGCTCAGAATTTTATATTATACATTGTTACAGTTATATACAGTTAGGGGAGCCACCATAAAATGGCTACAAGGGAACTGGTCAATCATAAAATGGCTGCCATTAGAGCTGGAGCCAAACATGTTCCAAGCCAAGCATCCTCTGAGGGTAAAGGTAGCTGTTTCCTAAGAGGTGTTCTCCAAAGATCCTCCTGTGCTCTTTTGAAGCACCTCCTGGTCCTGTAAGAGGGAGGGAACCCAGGATTGCCTCTTTGTTTAGGTAAGAAGGACTTGGGCACTGATTAGTGGATGCCACGGCACAAATGGGTACCACATTGGGGAGCACTGCAAGTACTTCTGACTCAGATTACAGTTTCCCAAAAAAAGGTAGAGGAGCATATACTGGTAAAACATACAACTAATATTATGTAAATGAGCCCTTCAGGTTTGGATCAAATAAAAATTCCTTGTTGTAAAAGAGAAATGGCTCTTAAAATATTTGGACAGCAATAATAAGCTATCCAAAACCAAAAAGGATCAATGTAACCAATATAACTACAATTAATAAACTATGTGGGATAATATGAAACCAGATGCAATGTTTGTAACAAATTCTTTTATTATCTTCCATGATTTTGTCATATATGCAAATCTCTTTTTCTCAGATATACAAATACAACCCACAGGAAGAAAACTTTGACGCTTTTCACTAAAAAATTTAAGTGTTACTTCCACAAAGGCTTTTAGCTCCAGTATGGGCTCCCAAAAGCACCAGATTATTCCCAAGTTTCCACACAACTTTGCTGACCACCCACTTTCCTTTTGTAATTTCACATGGTTTCTTTTCTGCAATATTTCCTCATGGTGTGCAACTGAAGTATGTTTGCCTTCCAAGTGGAAGGTATGATATCGTTGAAAAGGTGCCACCCACATTTCAGCACTGCTTTCTTGTGGGATGGTTAGGTTACCAAAATGTTATTTTTTAAACAATGTACTTTGGGTGATGTGATCATTAGAAAGGAATTTTTAAATGTTCAGAATGTAGTTGTTATTTTATTTCCTTAATTTGTTAGTTCTTATAGTGAACTAGGAGGAAGGCTTGTTGCAGCCCGAAATGCAACGAGCTTGTAGAACAGGGCCTGGGTGAGTGTGGCGTCGTGGAGGAGCTGCACTCCCCCCCTCCCGCAGCCCTGGCCAAGCGCGAGGTGCCCCACAGCCCCTGACCGACCTGGAGCGCGGGGCCGGGTGTGTGCCGGTCCCCGCCGGGAGCCACAGGCAGTTGCCGGCGGGACAGAAGGCCACATAGAAGCCGCAGCATTGCCAGAGGCGGCCCATGGCCCCTGACTGACATGGAGTGAGCGCAGGTCTGGACAAAGCAGCAGAGGCCGGCATCACGGCAGCAGGCGGCGCGAAGGCAGGAAGAGCCACCAGGCCGGGGGAGAAGGAGGCGAGAAGGCAGGGCACCGGGCGAGCAAGCCCTTTCGGCCGATGGAGCATGTGCCACCCCTGTCGCCTCGCAGTTTACTGAGGCGGAAAGGCTGGGCAGCGGCTCTGTCGGAAGGTGGGTGGGACTTTGACAACACATGGGCATGCAGCCACCAATGGATGGCGAGACCTGGTGATTGACAGGTCTCCTGGCCAAAGGCTGCGGGAGCATGTTCCAGGAGTCAGACAAAATGAGCTTTATATATAAGAGAGATTACTTATTGTAATGTCTTCATTGCATTTTGACTTGTTTTTGGCACACGAGAAGGAGACCAGCTGGGGATATTTCTCAACCACCTCACCTACAACCAAAAGAGTCCCTTGTGCAACCCAACTAAAGCCTACAAATTCAGAGGCAAGAAACCAATTGTCCAATTACAGCAAACTCAAAATGGAGGGGCATTGCGGCATCATCACTACCCAGTGAAAAGTGTGGTACTGTGTGTAAGGTAAAGAATGCTACAGGAACACTACAGCTTGAGGAATAAGCAGATTCAAGAACATCAAAGTTCTGCTG